CCCCCCCCCCCCCCCGCTCGCTCCCCCCCCCCAAAAAAAAAAGAGAAAAAGACGAGGCTTTCCAATCAAGCTAACCGATCAAAAGGACGCCTATGACAGGGATCCTTACATGAAACACCTGAACATTGCCTTGTAAATAGGTTTCCAACTCAATTTTGGTGTTGAAGAAGACACATGTTTCAACTGGTGGCAAAATGGGTCGATCTTTTGAGGAGCCGAAAGTATGACGAGAAGATCCGCTTCGGCGCCTCAATGCCCTCCGGCACCTCCAAGTCCGGCTCGCTTCTGCTGGGGCTCTTGGGGCTGTCTGGCTCGCCTCGATTTGGGTCGTGGGCAAACCCCCCTCAGACTCCACCCCCCTTCCCCAAAAAGGAAAACGGCGAGAACCGGAGAGAAACCCGCCAAAAAAAAAGAAGGGAAACAAAAGGATCCTGAATTCACCCGGTCTGTGAAGGAGCGGGTTACAAGGAGTCCTTGGAACTGTGAACGCCTCTGACATACGCACCAGATCGCACCTGTCGCTTGCCCAGCGGCCAATGAAGTCCCAGATGTTCACCAGATCTGGCAATCCAGCGCCGTCCATGTCGAAAGCGAATCCTTAGAGATCATCAGTTCCCGCCCAAGGCTAGCTTTAGTTCTCTACGAGAACCAGCCAAATCCAAACCACCAACTAAGGGGTACCTGAAATCAGAAGCATCCATGGCCAAAAAAAAAAACATGCCGCAAGAAGAGCAAACATCTGGGCCTCCCACGAGCACCGGGAAAGCAGTGCCATCACATCTGCTCCGCGTTTAGGGAAGGCTCGCCGCAAAAAGAGGACCTGTCTTCGGGGAGTGCTATGCAACAAACTGGCAGCCATGTTCTGGCCGAACTTGAGGGGGCCAAACTGTGACACATTCTCCCGGCTTGTTCTGCCTTCACCTCGCTCGAGCCACAGGGGGACAAACAAAACTTTGCGCGGCCAGCATTCATCACTTCCATGTTGATTTCGTCATCCCGCTGCTTACGCGCTAGAGCACTGTGCCATCCAAACGTGTTGAACTGTTCTCGCCTTTGGAACATGGGTGGCTTTCAGTTTCCCTCCAAAAAACTAATATACTAATAAAAATACAAATAAAACAAAAACAAAAAAGGGGGGGACTCACCGCCCCTACGTCTCGAAGGAGCTGAGGTCGGACGCCGGCCTGGGCGGGCAGCGAGGCCCCCTGGAGCATCAACATCCTGCGGCTGGCGAGTCTGTGGTTTTCTTGGCGTCATCCCGTTGGCACGGTAGTGGGGGTCCCTCCTGGATGTAAAACAATGCTACACGATGACGAAACAGGGACCAATGGAAGAAAATGAAGATCATCCGAACGGTTTTCTGGAAGACGTGGTTTGTCATGACAACCCAAGGAGGCCACTCTCGCTTTCAGAACGCGAGCCCACGTGTTTTGGCCCCAAATTGAATCCCAAACATGGCGTAATTCATCCAATCGCCCCCGGTCCTCTCACCTAATGGCTGCCGGCATAAACATGGCAGAGCCTCCCCACCAAACCTGGTCCTTTGACCTGTCCTGCGATTTTACAGGGCTCCAGTATGGCTGCGGCACCGCGCGGACAGCTTGATGGCATCGCTGGCAAAAGCTATTGGCAAGCGACGACACCGAACCGACTCGTACAAACAACGCGGCTACTGCCAGAACCAACACAGCAGCAAAGAAAATGCCAACCCCGCATGCCTCTTTGTTTAATTGCGGAGCCATTGTTATCACGTTACCTGAACGACAGACGCAATGGCGCATATCTGGAAGCTGACCAAAAAGGAAACCCACGGACAAAGAGAAACAAAACAATAAAGAAAGAGAAAAGGCCGGGCAGTCTCAGTTCCCACCCCGCGCCCAGGCCCCTGCAAGCAGCTGCGGCCGGTCACGTCACTTGACAGGGTCGCCAGGGGGGCGGAGCGAGGGCGGCGCAGGACTTTTCTTACCCAGAGCTGGCATTGTGTTGTTGGGTCCCATCAGCCGCAGCAACAGCCGTCATCGACTCAGACACCAAGACGTTCATCTGGGCCGCGCTGACTAGACGAGGCACACTGGCATTCATACCGGCTGCGCGCAGTGCAGCTAGGCCTTTCCGGCTACTGCGAAGCGCTTTGCCCGCATGCTCGCCCGGAGCTCACCGTCGGCACGGCCCGCCTGCTGCGCGAAGGGCGCGGAAGGCAAACATTGAACGTCTGCGTCGCGTTTGTGGCTCGCGGAAGGGCATGCATGGAAACTTGCAACAGGACGCTGGCTGCTACTGCACGGTGGGCAGCTTCATAGGAGACGCTACGCGCGCACTGGCTCGCGCAAACTGGCCCAGGAAGTCTCGGCGCTCCGGCGCCCAACAGCTTCAACTGCCAACAACTACTCGCCGGCATCGTGACTCAGGAGCCAGCAGTTCGGGAAGGGTGCGTTCCTTCGCGTTCTGCGCCCTCCGCTCGCCCTGGTTGGCCGCACAGGCAGCCGGAACGCAGCAAGGACGTCGCTGACATCCGGCACGGGCCCGTCAAGGTTGTGCGCGCCGGCTCCGGGCAGGGCAAAAAGGCTGGTGGCATACGCCCGCGCGGCGGCAAAAGAAATGAGGGCTGACCACCGGGCGCGGCGCGCTGCGGCACAGGAGGCCTGCATGTCATCTGGCACAAAGCGGGCGCGGGCCCGGGCAAGCAAGCTGACAAACTGCGCGGCGTCAGCACACCAACTTCATGTCTGACAACGACACGGTAAGTTCTCGCTTTGGCCGGTTGAGTCCAGGGCCGAAACGAGGAGAGGAAAGCGATTGGCGATAGCCCCGATGCTCCTGTCATCAAGGCCGTCGACATGCACGTTCAAGTCTCGAAGGAGCGTGTGGGTGGTGACCACGACAAACCCGGGCGGTGGCGCGCTCAAAAGGCCCGGCCCGGCGCCAGACCGGGGGCAAGCAGAGCGATGGTCACCGAGCTCGTCTAGAGCTCTCCCGCACAGACACGAGGCAGACCCGAAAGGCAAGGGGAGCCGCAGGCGCCGGAGGAGGAGCACGCGAAAGAACACGGGAAGCGAAGGGCCAGACTGGGACAAAAGCTGAGCATACAAGGCAGGCGCGAGCCGGCGTGCGAGCTCAAGGGCGAAGCTGTCGTCGACAGCGCGGGAGGCGGCACGTTGCCACCCCCTGGTCCGGTCTTCCGAAAGGCCCTCGTCAAGAACAGGCGGGCCCTCCCTGGCAATGCTGGGTCGAGCCCAGGGTCAAGGAGCCGTTGGCGAGCATCGCAGAAAGCGCGCGCTGAAGAGTCGGGCTGGCTGAGGCAGGAAAGGTGCAAAAACGTCGGGCACCCGGACGGCGAGGGAAGGTAAAAAAAAACTAACATGCCCAAAACGCGGGCGGTGCTGGCGGCAGCACAGCCAGGTTTGGGTCCGAGTCAGTTGGTGCCTGCAAGCTGTGTGTGCGGGCCGCGGTCCCCGCCCGAGTGGACAGAACAAACTGGTAGGGCTAGCAAGCCGCATGAAACGCCGCTCCAAACTGCTGCGCGAGCGCGCGGGCAACGAGCAGCCGGGTGAAATCCCTGACGATTATGCTTCTGACGCCCCCATTTCGCTTTTGCAGGGCAACTAGCCGGCCGAGACCGAGAGCGGCGCCCCTCGTCACCCGTCCTCGGTACGTGTCTCACCGCTTGGCAAGACGAACAAGCTAGTCACGCGCTTTGTCGAGGAGCTGGCGGGGGTCGCCGCAAACCTCGGCAAGACGCGCGCTTTCCAAAGCGCAGCGGTTGCGCCGGGAGATCCCAAACAGCTGCCGGATCTACAGTGTGCGTGCCTGCTCCTACTCATGTTCATGCGTGCGCCCCCCCGGGTTAACCATTTCCTCCGAGGCGTTTTCTTTGCAGTGCTACGATGGTCCTTCCTGTGTTTGATGGAAGGGAAATGGCCAAGCGCCGACTTCCAGGGGAAGAGGCATCTCGGCCACCACAAAAATCATTGGGCGTGGTTTTGTCTTTTTTGTTCTTATTTAATGCATTTTTGTCGCATGCATGGCACCCACACCAAGAGACGGCGGTGTGGCAATTATTTGCGGCTCGTGCATCCGAGCCGCGGCCAACGAGCTTGCCAGTTTTTGTTTTTGCGCCTGCTCAAGCGGCGAGACATCCGTCACGGCGCGCGCGGGTGAGACGAGCAGTGAAACGGCTGAGTGAAACGACGAGCAGGGCCAGTTTCACCCTGGGAGGACTTGGGCTTTAGGCGGCGCAACGCACACTTATTGGGCCGCCTGGGCGGACGCTTTGCCTGTGCTGATAAGCCAGGCAGCCGAATTAGACAGGATTACTCATGCCCTTGTGCACGCTTGCCTGCCTGTTCGAAGCTTCCCAAGCAGAGGTCTGGCAGGCACTGACTGCGAACGCGCATCCTGAGGCCCCGCGGTCCGCCGGAGCGGGCGACTGGCCGCATGGATGGCAGTTCCATGCTGCCCGCGCTTTGCATAACCACTTTCGCGAGCGCGTGCAGCTTCCTTCCCCCAGACCAGATTGCGGGCTCACTGCCATCCCCCGCATGCTCATCGCCCTGCGCCTTCGGTTGATGCGGGCCAAACCTGTTGAGAGAGCTGAGGCTGTCGGTTGTGCAGCAGTGGCTGGCACACCAGTGCCCCGGGAGTTGATGCCGCCTATCAGCGGCTGGACCTCGTCGTCCACGGGGCACGCCTTCAGGCGCGAGCCGCCGATTGCGACGGCGCAGCGTTGCGTGCAGCAAAGCAACGCAAGCTCGCTGCCTACCTGGAGCTACCGCGCCTGGGGCCGCACCGCGTTTGCGTGCGAGGTTGGCCGCGACACCATCAAGCTTGTGCCCTCTAGGAGGTCGCCGTTTTGCTTGCCCGCGCGCGCCAGCGGTGGGCAAGCTGAGTCTGCGAGGAGCTCGGTGAGGTCGCGATGCGGCAAAGGACTGCCCACGCTCGCTCCTGCGTGTCACAAGAAGCAAATCGTCGAGGAACGCGAGGAGCAGCTCGCCTTCTTGGAGCTGAGCCGTGGCTGCCGCGAACGCAGCGCCAACCTTGTTCACAGCTTTTGGGCGCGTGATGACAGGTTCAGTCAGTCGGCGTCCCACCACAAGTAGCTCGAGGGCCGTCCACAGAACTGGCAAACGAAAGGCGGCCACTGGGGCTTGACAGATTGCCACTGCATCAGTGCCCGCCAAAGTCTTTGGCCGGGGCTCATTCAGCCTGCGAAGGGCCTCGCCCGTCGTAAGCCCGCGCACGCCACGAGGGCCGTCACCCGTGCCAAGCCCAGGGCGTCCGAGATGTTCGCTGGCACCTCGGCCCGTGCCAAGCGCACAGCGGCGCCGTGCAAGAACCGGAGGCTGCCTGCATCCTCCAAAAGCAGCTTGCGGAGCTCAACGCGAGCGCCCGAAAAACGGGGCAACTCCCGCGATGGTTTTCGTGCGGGGCCGTGGCAGAGCTCAGCTCAAGGGCGTTTCTGGCCTGCAGTGTTTCCGCCGCGCGTGGCGCCCGCGGCTGTCAGCGGCTGGCACACGCCGCCTCGCGGCGGCGCTGTGCCTGAGACTCCGCATCCTCGTTCGGCACGCGACCGATCCACCTCAGCCA